GCTCACTTTATCTGCTAAGGCCAAATTGCTCTAAACGTACATACTTGATTAAGCACTTATCATATGGTACTTTTATTATCAGTTTACATATCTAGCTTCACTCCTCAGGAGCAGTCACATTCGCCTTTTTGTATTTTGAAAACGACCTTGCACAGTGAACTGGCTTAAAAGCAGATGCTCAGGGAATGAATTAATGCATCTCATGCTCACTGGAAAGATCACAAAGTAATAGACTATTCTATCAAACAACTCTAGTCTACATCTCAAGAAAAAAAACTACCAATTTCTAAAAAAAAAAAAAAAAAATTCAATAGTGGATTTTTCAGATGGGAAAATGATGCTAGAGAATGAAAACACGACTGCATTAAATTAGAGTTGTATCTGTATTATTATCTGCCCCTAACTTAAGTGTTATTTTCCTTTGAAAAGGTAGTGAGTACAGCCATGTGCCAGTTATCAATTGACTGCCTCCTTGCTCCAAATCCACCCTTCACTGTCCTTCAAGTGAGACTGAAACCTTCCTACCTTGGTAGGGCACAGGGCATGACAGCTTCATCAGCACTCAGCACCCCTCTATGGCCATCTGCTCCCAGCACTCCTTCAGGTTGCTTTCCATGGAGTTCTCAGGCTACACACACACCATGGAAGGCTTCCCCAAGCATGAAGAGGGCAGCTGTCCAGCTCATTTCAGTCCCTTAATGTCTCTGACATCCAGTAGGCCTCAGCCGTGCCCCTCCAATGAAGTCTGAATGTCAGATCTGTTCCTTCCTTCCGTGCTCTGCATAGCCTTAGTGGTAGTGACTACTACCCTAACTGTTGTTACTATAGTCTTCAGAGTTCTCTCTACCTCTCAGCCAATTCCCCCATTACTCTAATCCTACGTTACAGTTAAGGATTGTTTACATTAGACTTTCTCTGTTCAAATTCCTGTGTAGTTTCGGTTTCCTAATTGAACTCTAAATGATACAACTAGCATGAATAATAATATCCTGCATTAGATAAGCCAAATTTAATTTGGTGAAGTTGAGGGTATTTGAATACCGGTAGAATTTAAATTTTCTTAGGAAAGACATAGTTTGTCTTTAAGTGCAGTATTTTTGCAAATACAAAGCTAGATATGATTTAAATCTTAAAAAATTGGAAAACACAGCATTCAATAATTTTATTAGGGAATACGTTACAGAGGTATTAAACCTGATAGCAAGTAAGAATTGGCGAAAATGGCATCCCTATTCCTTTCTTCCTCCCAACTCGTGGAACTTTCCTCACTAGTTTATCTTAATAGTGGAAAATGGCTAGAATGTTTAAGAAAAATCAGGAAGAATAAAACTGGGCTATATGGCCAAGCATGGTGGCTCACGCTTATAATCCCAGTACTGGGAGGCTGAGGTGGGAGGAATGCTTGAGGCCAGGAGTTTGAGACCAGTCTGAGCAACATAGTGAGATCCTGTCTCTATAAAAAATCAAAAATTAGCCAGCCGCGGTGGTGTGCACCTGCAGTCCCAACTACTCAGGAGGCTGAGGTGGGAGGATTTGCTTGAACCAGGGAGGTCAAGGCTGCAGTGAGCCATGATCATGCCACTGCACTCCCACTGGGCAACAGAGTGAGACTCTGCCTGAAAATAAACAAATAAAATAAAAAAGAAAACAGTTATAAATACCTTTTAGAATTGTAGGATGTCAGTTTTGTCAGAACTAGAGAGGTCCTCTGGTGTGATGTTTTTTAGACAGCCATACTGGTCAGGTCATGAAACCAATTTAGTGGATTGGAACTAGCATTAAAAAAGAATTAGATGGGCCAAGTGCAGTGACTCACACCTGTAATCCCAGCACTTAGGGAGGCCGAGGTGGGTGGATTACCTGAGGTTAGGAGTTCGAGACCAGCCTGACCAACATGGTGAAAAACCCTGTCTCTACTAAAAATACAAAATTAGCTGGGTGTGGCAGCACATGCCTGCAATCCCAGCTACTTAGGAGGTTGGGGCACGAGAATTGCTTGAACCTGGGAGGCAGAGGTTGCAGTGAGCTGAGATCATGCCACTGCACTCCAGCCCAGGCAACAAGAGCAAAACTCTGTTTCCAAAAAAAAAAAAAAAAAAAAAAATTATAACAAAATAACAAATACATATACGATTAGAATAAGCACACTTAGAAATTTTTGTTTTGGAGATATATATGCATTTACACACATGAACCCTAGATTGCAATGTAAAATATACTTTATACTGTGGCTTATAAAAAACAAACCTAGAAATTACTGTGCAGTGTCTAATCCAACTCATATACAACAAAAGATCTCATCCACATTTTTGCTAGTACTGACGGTAAAATAAACAAACTGGGAAGAATCTGGAATACTTCTCTTTTAATTGATATTTACGAGGACAGAGATATTTACAAGGACAGAGATCAAAGGAAAAATCTGATTGAATCATTTGTTGTCAATTTAACATAAATAATAAGAGGCAGAAACTCAAAATCAAGTTTTTTTGATTCTAAGTCATAGTTTCTTTTCCCACTGGTCCACTCAACCTCCTGAATTTGTTCTTCCCCAGATACATGCTGCTATTTGCAATCAATAAATTTGCTAACTAAAAAGAAAGTTATCTCACTTTCCAGCTAGCAATACTAGGGATGAAAGGAACATTCTATAAGTAAAATGATTCTGACACTGCAGAAATTTAATAAAGAGAAATGTTTTTAAAAGAACACTATTTCCACTATGCTGACTTTATCCCAAATAATAGTGTTCCAATTAGGTTACCTATGTGACTTAATATACACAATTAATGTTGGTTAGGCTGTTGAATTGTAAGTACCTGAAATATATACCAAAGTCAAAATTAAATATTCTTTCTAAATTCATACTTTTAATGGAAGGTAATTTGGCAGTACCTATCAAAATGCAAAATGTAATTACCAGTGACCCAGAAATTTTACTTCTTGCACAAATGCACAAGAAGGCTAACGGCAACATTGTCTATAACGATATTCATCAAAGCAGGTGTAGGTGGACATTTGCTGTTTCTCGCTACCTAACATCAGAGCACTCTTCTTTGAGATCCTTAGCAGCTAGGGCAGGGAGACATGTGTCCTAGACTGAGCCAATCAGATACTCCTATCTAGAACTTAGAATCTTGAAAAAGTGCTGCAATATCAAGGACCATCAACAGACAATACATAGTGGCTACAGTGGAGATGAGAGCAGTGGAGGCCGGTGGTATGCATCCAGCATCCTCTCAAGCAGGCCGTACTGACAACAGCAATTTGGCTGTGCCTTGCCTTTCTTCATTTTGCCCATCTTCAAACTTGATTTTATTGCTTTCCTGTCTGTGAACCATCCAATCTTTCCAATAAAATCTTCTGTTTACATTAACCAGAATTGGTTTCTGTTATTTGCTACCACAGACCTCGACTAACAGAAATCAGAAGCTGATAAATTGTGGTTCATCTATCTAGAGTTTTTAAAAAATGAGAGAGATTTACATGTGGTGATACAGAAAGACACTCAAGATTTACCCTCAAATGAAAAAAATAAAACTGTAGAACAGCAGTGATTGTATAATCTCACTGGTAGAACTGGGACACATGTACACATACACAGGCTTAGAGAGGTACAGAAAATTTCTGGAAGGATGTTCACCATGCTTGCTTACATATGTAAAGTGTGAAGAGGAACTTTCATCAACACTATATAAGCAGTACTTTTACTGACTTCATCTAACTACCTCCATAGTGTCACTGCATTTAAATAATCAGCAAAACTTCTAGTGTGACCACATATAGCTACTATAAATGTTAATCTGGTAAGAAAATTACAAGAAAGCCTGCAAGTAAAATAAAGCACTGTGAAACAGAAAATTTTGATTTCTTTCTCCTCCCTGTGTCTAAAAATCTCTGAAGAATACTACTAAGTAGTACTTTTTAGTAAGACTTATTCACGGCTAAGGCTGAAAATTCACATAGCCACACTTAAGTCCAACATGATTTTTCTATTTCTCCTACAAATTCTCCAAGAAAAGAAACTTTAAGCCAGAAAGAATGGGGGGAAAGGCCAAGCAAGAAAAAAAAAATTAAATGGTGAATGAGGGTTATTACTGTACAAATATCTGAGTTGAGGGTAGAAATTTGCTCCACTTAGAGAATGGGGAAGGGAATAACGCTCCTTAATGCAGATATCCAGAGGGTTAAGCAATCCCTTAAACTATGACACACAATGGTCTTCACAGTATAGTCCCAAGATTCCTTAATCATCATATCCCTTTCCTCCAGTCCTGATGAAAATCCTTTACTGCCACATTTTGTACATCACTCCTGGTATAAAGTCATTAAACCTTCTTGGCAAAGTAAGTATGAGGAGCCCAGCCCAGTATTTCTCACATAATATAAAGATGGGACAAAAGCACAAACTGATTCTACTGATTAGGTGGACAATTATTCAAACAAGTTATACCAAGTCTGTACCTATCACCTGATTTTTCATTTGTTATTTATGTTTTATTTTAAAGAGACAGAATTTTACTACACTGCCCAAGCTGGAGGGCAGTGTCTACTCATAGGCATGATCATGGTACACTGCAGCCCTGAACTCCTAGCCTCAAGCAATCCTCCTATCTCAGTCTTCCAAGTAGCTAGGACTACAGGCACATTCCACCACGTCTGGTTATTGATTTTTCATTTGGAAAATGGGGTTAATAGTTACCTACTAAGATTACTGTGAGAACACATATGAATGTCACAACATAGTACCAGCATACAGTAAGCGGGTGCTCAATAAAGGTTTACTGACAATCTGAAATCTGTTATAAGCCATTCACTCCACGGTTAGAAAGTACCCTGTCCACATACCTTTAGTACTTTGTACATATTTTTATTACATTTTCTTGTAGTTATTGTGGCAAATTGGTCTCCCCTGTAGGGTAGGACAGTCTTCATTTTTTGAACTCCAGCACAGGGACTGCCCACAATAGTATCTTTTTTTTTTTTTTTTTTTTTCCTGTGGGAAACTGGGGCAGTTTTATTGACAATGGCAATGTACAAGACTCCACACCTAGGTATGTGGGCGAGGTAAGGCCTGAGCTCAGGCCTTATGATCCTCCTCTGGACCCTTGGAGGAAAACTTCTCCTGCAGTTTCTTCCACATGCTTTTATCCATTTCCTTAAGCTCTTCCAAGGTGTCTGTGGACAGGATCACCTTGTACTCTTCCAATGACAGGCCACTGAAGCTGGTGTCTCTGGGGCGAGGGTACTTGTGTTTGTAGTAGTTTGTATGGAGTCGCGCTAAGCTCTGGTACATCTGATCACAGGCCTCAGGCTCTGCAACCTGGGTATTCTCTCCCTCCCGAAAGGCCTGTGCTACCCGCTGTCACAGGTAAGCGCCCAAGTCCCGGCCCCGTTTGGTCTCGTCCACTGGCCATTCCTCACAGAGCTTAAGAAAAGGCCGGTACCAGCTGGCCACCATTTTGGGCCCCCAATAGTATCTTTTTGTTGTTGTTGTTGTTGTTGTTTTGTTTTGTTTTTGAGACAGAAGTCTTGCTCTGTCGCCCAGGCTGGAGTGTAGTGGTGCGATCCCAGTTCACTGCAACCTCCGCCTTCAAGTGATTCTCCTGCCTCAGTCTCCCGAGTAGCTGGGATTAGGCACCCATCACCACGCCCAGCTAATTTTTATATTTTAGTAGAGATGGGGTTTTGCCATGTTGGTCAGGCTGGTCTTGAACTCCTGATCTCAAGCAATCCACCCGCCTTGGCCACCCAAAATGCTAGGATTACAGATGAGAGCCACCACGCCTTGCCCACAATAGTATGTTAAATTTCTTTAAGAAGAAGAATAAAAATAATCAACTGTGATTCTCTATTCTTTGCATAAACTCCATCCTCCAAGCCTTCATATGTGTCAATCAAACTCCTACTCCAGCACAAATTAACTTACCAGTGAACAAGCTCTTTCCATTTTATGAAGAGTCCAACTGTATGTCTTCTACTCATGGTCCTGATATGAGTCCCTCTTTTATATGTCAGTCACCTAAATATCTGAAAGTCATTATTATATTCTCCTTTAAGTCTTCTTTTTCAGGTTAAAATGGTTCAGATACTCAACAATTCCTAAAATGTCATGAATGTTATAGCCTTCATACCAGTGTTACTGGTCTCCTGAGCACGGACTCCTGTTTGTAGATATTCCTTTAAAACAAGATTTTCAGAACTGAATTGCAGTTGAGGCCTGACAGGGTAGAACCTGCCTTATCCATACACTATACTTTTACTAATCTAGCATCACATTTATTCTTTGGTTCACTTTATTACTTATCTGACTCATATGAATCAAGTAATGTAAAACTAAGTTTTTAGACATGTGTGGATATCGAACCAGCTGACCTCCATTTTGTATTTGTATGATTATTTCACAAGCAAATACTGGGTTTTAACTTCATTTTTATTTAATTCAATTTTGCTACAATTTGGACAATCATTCTGCCTACCAAGGTCACTTTGGATTCTGTCAGTTAAAATCCAAATTATATATTAGCTCTTTCAACCAAACTGAACTGCGTCCAAGCTGTTGCTAGTATCAGAAGTAAAAAATTCAGGACTGCATGTAGCAGCATGCTCCTTCCAGCTTGCCTACACAGCAGTCCTTTATGGATACAGTTCTTAAACCAGATGAAAATCCATGTAGCAGGCTGGGTGTGGTGGCTCATGTATGCAATCCCAGCACTTGCGGAGGCCAAGGCGGACAGACTGCTTGAGCTTGGGAATTTGAGACCAGCCTAGGCAACATAGTGAGACCTTGTCTCTACAAAAAATTCAAAAATAGCCGGCTGTGCTGGCATGCACTTGTAGTCCCAGCTACTCAGGAGGCCGAGGTGGGAGGATCGCTTGAGCCCAGGAGTCGGAGGTTGCAGTGAGCTGAGATTGTGTCACTGCACTCCAGCCTGGGCAACAGAGCAAAACTCTATCTCGGGAAAAAAAAAAAAAAAATCCACATAGCTATGAAACCAGTAGAATTTCTTCACCTCACACCCAAGTTTATCCTGAGCAAGTATAACAAATACCTTTACATAGAGGACTGGTGACTCAATTCATCAGGCATACATTATTATTGCTTTAATTTATAACTTTTTAGCTATTTATTAGTTTTTGTGTCAAGTAAAGCCTTGAACATAAGTAATCTGGGACACATATACTTTTACTTTGCCCTCTGACATAGTTAAAACTGAACTAATGATACTTTATCCAAAGAAAGAAGATAACCACTGACAAACAGATTTATTTATATCAAAGACTTCTGTACAGCTACAAAACTACTTCTTTCCAAAGGGGTTCAAAACTGACTGAAATCATTCAAGTGGTACCACAAGTACCAAGAGTGAGTGTAGAAGAAATCAACGTAGGCCGGGCACGGTGGCTCATGCCTGTAATTACAGTACTTTAGGAGGCCAAGGCGGGTGGATCACCTCAGGTCAGGAGTTCAAGGCCAGCTTGACCAACATGGTGAAACCCTGTCTCAACTAAAAATACAAAAAAATTAGTTGGGCATGGCAGCCAGCACCTGTAACCCCAGCTACTCGGGAGGGTGTGGCAGGAGAATCGCTTGAACCCAGGAGGCGGAGGCTGCAGTGAACCAAGATCGCACCATTGTACTACAGCCTGGGCAACGAGAGCGAAAATCTGTCTAAAAAATAAAAAAAAAATCAAGGTAGAAAACAACTACTGGCTTTCCCATCTCTTCCTTGAAGACTAGTGAAAAATAGTACCTCCTTGATATTCTTCTCAATCTCAAGTGGATCGTGAGGACACCTGAGATAGAAAAGAACTTTTTCTTTTATTGAGTCAAGGAGGACAACAGAATCAAGGAGAGCCATTCTGTGGTTAACACATGATCAGCAGAGTGAACAGCTTTTTTTCTATAGGCAAGACCAACTCCACTAAATTTTAGAATGCTCAACAGGTAGGAAACATTATCTCTAAGGTATTACTATTAACAAAGCACTTTGTAGCTTACAAGGCACCTTCACATATTATTTACTTTAAGCTCACAAAAATCCTGTGAGGTAGATAATCCAGGCATTGCTATTGGTTTTTCCAGATGAGAAAACTAAAACTGAAGGGGTATGAACTTTACTGAGGTCACAAGTAAACAGTACAGACACCACATTGATCGAGATATGCTAATTACAAATACCAGGCTCTTGGAAAACTTTCAAGAGTGGTGTCTAAGCTAAAATAACTGGAAAGGACTGCATAGTAGTTATTTCTAAAGAAAGACAAACGCAAACGGGTCATCCATCAATTTTAATAATGCAGGGGCAGCAGAGCAAGCATGAATACACTACTGACACTGATATATCAACTGTAAATAAATTAAGGAAACAAATGACTAACACTTAAATTTTAAAGACAGCTGTAAAGCTAGGGGTAAAAAACAAAACCAAACCCCGAGCCTTGGTAAATAACTCTACAGGGTGCACTAGGCAGATACTATACCTGTTTTAGAAACAGAAAATTTCAGAATTTAAATTAATTGTTCATGCACACTAGTAAGTTAGTGGCAGGTATCTTCTCTTCAGTAACCTCTCTACTGGCCTACAAGGAATAGGTGACCTATCCATGCTTGGAAAAATCTACCATATTATTTCCTGTGCAGGACATGCGCCCGTCTAAACTCAAAAGCCCATCGCAAGTGGGCATGCCTGTGATCTACACCTTGACCTTTGTCTACATGACTGAACCAGGGTGGTACTTGATAGTAGAAATAAACCCAAATCCATCAGTGATTTCAATACATATGAAAACATTAAATTATCCTGTTAAAATACAGCCTCTCAGATTGACATTTTTAAAATATAGAAATGGGCTACAATAAAAAAACAGGCTTTAAAAAAAAAAAAAGTGATAAAGGACTAGGCATGGTGGTTCATACTGTAATTCCAACACTTTGGAAGGCTGAGGTAGAAGGATCACTTGAGCCCAGGAGTTGGAGACCAGCCTGGGAAACATGGCAAGACCCATTTCTGCAGAAAATTTAAAAATCAGCCAGGTGCAGCCAGGCACAGTGGCTCACATTAGTAATCCCAGCACTTTGGGAGGTTGAGGCAGGCAGATCACGTGAGGTCAGGAGTTTGAGACCAGCCTGGCCAACGTGGTGAAACCCTGTCTCTACTAAAAATACAAAAAGTAGCCAGGTGTGTTGGTGTGTGCCTGTAATCTCAGCTACTCAAGAGGCTGAGGCAGAATGGCTTGAACCCAGGAGGCAGAGGTTGCAGTGAGCCAAGACTGTGTTACTGCATTCCAGCCTGGGTGACAGAGCGAGACTCTCTCAAACAAACAACAAAAAAAAATTAACCAGGTATGGTGGCATGTGCCTGTGATCTCAGCTACTTGGGAGGCTAAGATGGGAGGATCCCTTGAGCCCAGGAGGCAGAAGCTGCAGTGAGTCATGATAGTGCTATTGCACTCCAGCCTGGGTGACAGAGCAAGACCCTATCTCAAAAAAAAGGTGACACAGAACCAGAATGAGTCAACTGATTACTTTAGAGAGAGATTTACATATGCTGGTAAAGCCAAAGATGTATATACCTTCCACCCACAAATCCGCTGCAAGATATATTTCTAAAACTCTTAGCACCCAGCTCAAGGAGGCAGGCACAAGAATAATGTATGCAGTATCGTTTTTACAACAAAATAAACAACTTTAAAATGTCCATAAGAATGGAGAGAACTGCAGTACAAACAACAGAACATAATCAAGCAATTAATATCAATAAAATAGAATGAAATGTATTAATATAGACAAACCCCCAAAGTAATGAGCAAAAAAGTTTCAGAGCCAAGTGTAATGTTTACTTCCTAAACAAAGCACATATGAACTAAATATGCAAAATTAATATCAAATACCTGAATTCAAAAAAATCACACTAAGAAATAAGTGAAGGGAAACCTAATGACAAAGGAATAACTTCTCAGTAAGATGTATGGGTCATAAATACCTTACAAATTAGCCCCCAAATTCATGCGGGGAGGGCAGAAATAATCTGACAGAAGAATAAGAAAAATCCATTGTCATAATATGAGATTTTAACATCTCTCTCCAAAGGTCAAAAAGAAGTAGACAAAAAACTATATAGAAGATACGATCCACGCTAATATCAAGTCTGATCTAACAGACATGAAAACCTGAACTCACTACATACACAAGAATATACTTTTCAAGCACATATGAAACATGTACAAAAACCAATCAAGTACTCGGCTACAAAATTAGTCTCACACACTGAAGAATCAGCACATATAGTCTACAGTCTCTCAGTTTAATAAAGTCAGAAATCAATAATGAAAAGATTCTTTAAAGAAAAGAAGAAAAAGACAAAAGAAAAAAAAAAAGAAACATGCTTACTGGGTCAAGAGAGAAGCCATGAGAAGAAAACAAAAACTTCGGAGTAGCCAACTGCTCAAGATCTGTTA